TCACCATACTGCTGTCTCCTCTGGTAAAAATGTATCGTTCGTAAGTCTCGTTGGATTCGCCAAGACAGTACCGCTCCATCTTCGTCACCGACACCTGCCAATCTCCACGGTCCTCATCCGGACTGTAAATGAATGCGTTTATAACACACAGAGCAACCGGAACAAAGCCAATTGTACGGGACTGGATTCGCGATCAGTGTGTGGATCGCTGTCAGTGTGCGAAAGTCTCCATACTGTGTTCGCCACTGTCTCCAATTGTCAGCCGATCGCCCCGTCTCCTCCATAGTCACGTACGCCGGGGGTTGGACCTGCAGTCGACTATTCGGTCTCTCTGACATTGGGAATTTCGCATCATTTTCCGCTGCCATCATGTCAAAAGTCAGTTCTTCAGGAAATGCTCTAGATCTATTTTCTCTAGTCCACTGGACACGAATCAAATTTCGGAAGGGAATCACGGGCGTTTATGTATAAACCTGGACCAATCAGATTGTTCGCTCTGCAAAATAAAGTCTTGTACGGATCAATCACAAAAACGCAATTGATGCAGTAAACAAACAATCAATTCAAACAACATTTTCCAACACAGTATCCTTTTATCTACCATGGGAACTGCCAGCAAGCGAGTTGCGTATTCAGCATGGTATTTAGGTTCCTTTAATCCAATCCACAGAAGAATGTTTCTCACCTCTACTCCCCCACCCCTCGAAAAAAACCATTTCTCACCTCCGAGTATGGGATGCATAGAGAGCTACTAACCGTGCACCACATGTGGGTGAGTGTGCTCGTGTCTTTGTGTGTGTTTGGTTGATAAAATTAGCGCTGTGATACACTTTTGTGCGCGTACTCTCCCCCGTGATTTTCAACCCTGTACCACGGAAAAAGTCCTTCGCGCCCTCGTCTGGTGTGTTTCGTTTTGAATCCGAAATCTTGGTAACCGGTGACTGAGGGCAGATTGCCGCGTTTCTCATCACCACAATCGTTTCATGCTCAATCCAATCTATGTTTCGGTCGGTGGATGCCCGCTGGTACAGTTTGTAACCGATGACGGTGCAGTGTGTGTTTGTCTTGCTAGATTAGCGGTAATCTAAGCTGAACTAGATGATATCGGTATGAATTAACCTGTTGCTAGACTTTCGGAATGGTAAGTCCACATGACATATACCGTGATTGCTCCGATAGGCTTGAAACTCGACCTTACATGGATGCTTAGATTGGGTTATGGCAACCCGGTTGATTTCAGTTCATTGTACGTGGATTTTGCACATCGTAACCAATGGGTTGATTTGAGACCACCAATCTGTTTCGTTCTTCCACTTAGCTTCGTGAATTGGTCAACAACTTGGTTGAGGTACATCCTAAGTCCCCGTGTGGCTATTCGGATTATTTATTGGTCACTCGTAACTATCTGTTGGCGTCCCAAACTCCAACTTTGATCAAAAAAGTGAGTTGTGGAATTAACGAATATTGGTTTTCATTTCATGGTTAAGCCTCATAAATTTGCTTGGCAATTACGTTTATCGCAACGAAGTTGGTTCGATCCCTCCCTCGCCCACCACACCAAACATACATTCGCGCGTCGATTGTGAAACACAGAAGTCAGAAGTTCTGCAATTTTTCACGCAATTTTTGTCATCCACATCTCTTAACTCTTTAACTTTGTTTTGGTTTTGAATTTCGTTATCTGACGGGCGAGGAAATTAACGAATATCTTTTTAATAACAGAGAACCCGTGTTAATAGAACCCAAGCCATCCGTGTCGCCCGCTTCTGAAATTATCACCCACCGTTCATCTTAGAGGACATCCATTTAAACTAGTGGTCTCAAAATGCCACTTGAAATTCCGGCGTCAGTGTGTTCGATCTGGAACTCTACCATCCTACGTCGTCTGTGCTCCAAGCATTGAGTCTCTCAAACTGAGGCTCGATGAAACATTAGCACACCTTACATTCCAACATCGAGTGAAGCTGCGTAAAGCAGTGGCAAACGCACGTATCACATGACATTTTACACAGAATTGTATGTATCACTGTTTCTTACTCCACCGTACGAACCTATGGGACCAGAAAAGCATGAGCTTCTAAGTTAATCCCATAATGAATCTTTGAATCATTGTCTGTCATTCACCGGTGTAGGATGTGATAGAAACAGAGCTGCAGCTTCCTCCCTCCTGACAACCAGCCTTTATATTTAATGAAGCTCAGAGTGTTCTCGGACAGTGCCTGATCAAGTTCTCATGTGAACACCACGTCGCTGGCACCGATTCGGGCTTCTGGCTAATGCACGGACAATTTTATTCAGGTTTGCGCTGAACTGCAGACATCTCCGTTGCACGAGTGTGCAAATTTGTTCGCCCAGTGATTTCTGATTGTCTTGTTCGTAAGTTGCTTTCGCCATTTTACTTCCACAATAGTAGTCCATGGGTCTTAGATACTCTGCGGTGATAACGGAAGAAGCAGCGGGTTTTCGTTTAATGAACAATCTTTTCGAAAAAAAAGAATCATACAGATCCACAGGAAGTGTTGTGAGATGCACTAGTATGGTTCGCGTCGAAGAAATGCATTGCACTCACCTCGTCATCATACATGTAGTATTCGGTTGTTGATAAACTATATATGCTTGCACGGAGACAATACACTGAGCGGCTTAGAATGCTACTATGTATTTTCCATTCCAACTTTTTCTTCATGGGATTATCGATATACTCGATTTACTATCGAATAAGCTATTCAATATGGTTCGGCCTGGGTCGGGGTTATTTTGGTTGACATGCAGCAGTTCGGGGAAAAAGGAACAATGAACTTCACTGATTATTGCTCAAACACAAATGCACCACGCTAATCTCTGTTGCGCGTCCCAATTCGATGACACAACTCGGTTCCTTTCTTACTCACATTCTCTACTCGTTCTATTCTGCAGAGTCCCCCTGCTCACTTGAAACCGGTGTTTGTTGAACTGTTCAACGAACAAGAAGAGGAACGCTATGCACAGGCATTGAAACATCAATCGGAACGTGTAAGTTAAATCGATCATGGCGCGTTTCACCAGACGATTGGTTGTGTTTTTGCCGACTGCCCCCCCCCCCGAACTGTTTGGCCCCGCTCTCGTCAGAGTCACATCGCCATTAATCGTCTGTGCTCTGCGTGTCCATTCCTGTTTTGACAGGTGTATGAATGTGACTTTTCTTAGTGGTTCCACCTGACCCACCCATTACACAACCACATTGCAGAATAGATTAGACCGTTCGTGCCAGTTCAGAATCAACTGCATGTGTCGTTTGCCAAACCAGTTGAACTGTTCTTGTTGTAAAGCTAAAAATCGTCTGAATTCCTCACTGTTTCGGTACCCCCATGAGGTGCAGATCAATTTGGGTTTACACTGACCTTANTGACCTTACGTGATTCGACTGTGAGATGTTTCACTTGGTTCATATAGGCTGAGGAGTTGAGCAGACTAATAATCGTTTGTCTTTCGATTTGCGAAAGCGGTTTTATGAAATTCTTGCGGTGTATGTATGTTACGTTTCCCTAACTTAGTAATATCGAGCTTTTAGGTTCCCACAGGCTCAGCGTGGAGGGATTTTTACATCAGGTTTTGTCTGCTGTCCACGTTTGCAACATGAAGGGGGAGTGCATGGTAAATCGTTATGTACACTGAACTTAACCACCACTACTCTCCACAAAGACAATCCTATTCAGTGGGAACTAACAAACTTGCATTGAAGGAAATAAACAATAAAATAAATTTGACACTAGTAGATCCATATAAATAAGTTGATCTACTATTCCGAGGAGAAGGTGAAACTAACACTCAAACTACCTCCAGGCTGTTGATTCGTCTCTCAAAGATAAGGTTCTAGAAATTGTGCCATAGTCCGGCGTGGTCCTACTCGAATGGTAAACCATGACAGGTACATTGCCCTTTATCACCCAACTACATGCATATCAACAGTTGTTTCAGTCATCACCTGTTATAACAATTGCGATGTATTTTCTTTTCTATCAGGAGGATCTTCGTCTTTGTGCCGAACAGGCTGTTTTGCGTGCACAGACTCGGGCTGCTTTGGCGGTGGCAAATCTATCCAAACCGTTATCATTCTGTTCCGTGTTGGCCTATAAAAATCTCACCTACGTTCCACCGAGCAGCAAAACCGAACAACGAGTATGTGCTTGAAAATTGGTCCTTGTCATCATTGATTCCCGGCATGTCTCGTTTTTCTTCCGTATGACTTTGACTTCTTTGCTGCATACAAGCCCGTTGCGTAGTAGAACGTTCTTATAGGTTTGGCAAATCACCTCCGGTAGAAAATCCTGTCCCTTGGTAGAATAGTATCCATCCATCGTCATCTTTCATCTAGAGGATCTATCATTCGCTGAACTCTTATTCCTGTCTCTAGTTAGTCACGGCGTACATCAGTGGCTTGTTCGTCGACCAAGCTGAAAAAAGTTGGAAACAACTGAAGTCTGAAGGCCTCGGAGAGGTCTCGTACGACATATGAAGACGAACGTAACTTAATGGTTGAGCAGATCCGCTTTCGGATCGAATGTTGTGGATGAAATTAGTTTTCATTTTCCTATCCTTATACTTCATTTATTGAATGTATGTATTGGTATGAACAAATTTCACGAAAAGTGGAATACCAAATGAAAGGGTTGCCAGTAATTGATCGAAAAATGGAGAAAGTTAGACAGTGGTGGTGGGAATCAGCTGTACGTCCTCTAGATTGATAAGTTAACCACTTGACCACCGCTGCCATGGACACGCGGATCCCAGGTTCGTAACTCTTTCGATCGTATAGAAAATAACCTCTATGTGAGTTGCAGATGACTATGCACCAACACCTCTTTCTTGCACTCTGTAATTGATAGTGCTAAACTGCACACTCAAACCAAAAATCCAATGTCACTCCCATGGAGCTTCAATAAGCCGGCTCAAGTAAACTATGAGGGTATAAAAATCCGAACTAGGAGATTTCGTCATATAGGTCGCGTTCTGCACCCTGGATGGGGACCTCAGGACCATCGTAACCGGTGGCACCGGCGGCACTGATTGATATGATTGATTGTCTCGAACAGTGGCGCTTGTGCATATGCTCAATGCCTTTGCAACCGCACACGGTCTGATTTCCCTTTTTTTCTTCATAATTGTCGAACCTTGACCGTGACGTGATACTGTAACGTGCAGATCGCCGCTGATAAGGTCTCACTCGCTAGGTATGTCTTTTCTAAGGAATGTGAAAAAACCCAGGTGCAACTTGGTTGCGTAGACCACTCCCGAGTTCTTGCTGGTTGCACGGGAATATGTAAAAGCCAATTTGAAGCCTCGAATGGAAACGCTGGGTATAATTTCCATCGTCCAATGAGGTTTCTCGTCATCGCCAGGTTTACCTGGACGGAATTTGGCGGAAAGGTGAAATAGGAGGCATCTACACGTACTGGTACGAAATTCAAGCATGTCAAAGGTAGTTTTAAGCCCCTTCATAGCCGGAATTGTTGCGCTGTCAAATAAATAAACGTACCTAGATCACAGCTCGATTATCAAGTGTTTTCACATGTTCCCCTATCATGGGAAGTAGCCACAAAGTAGGCTGCCTACACTGGGCTCTTCCATGGTTATCTGCTCTTTCTGGTGCGTCTGTAATGCACCGTATTGGCTGCATGACGAGGCAACTATCGCAACCGATGAAAGTATTCTGCCGAAGCTGGTTAAAACAAGGAGGAACAGGAAGCATAGGCAGCGCCATTCGTGGTCATCTGGTGAATACGGGTCATAAAATAAACCACAGTCCGCTTTTAGCGTAATCCATTGTGTGCC